ATTTTAATCAAGCGATAAAGGGTTGGGAGATGGATGAAATATACAGATTAGTTAAATAATGTCTAGAATTAGGGGTTGAAAGGTAGTTGATTGAACGATGCTGGAAAGTGGAGAAATTCTCCCCAAAAGAGCGCAAAAAATATTGCGCTGTAAATTGCACCTTTTTTGCACTACGAGATCTGTAGCGTTACGGTCAAAGACAAATATACAAAACCATAACACTACAGATCTGCAGCTAATTTCAGATAAAAGAAAACTCTCATAGTCACTTAGGTTTCTTTTTTTCAAAATATAACATATGTAAAGATACATTTATGTATAGCAATTCTGATTTAAAATTTTAGTATCTACATGTATTCAATACAATAAATGCATTTAAAAATTCACTAAAATATATACCATCAAAATCTCAGTATCTGCTCAAACTCAACAAAACCCAACAAACTTCAAAATATATGAGGATTCAAGATAACAGGGTAAAAATACTTAAGAATAAGGGGTTGGGACTTCAAAATCAGTTTGACGTATTCATGGTACTGTGAAATCATTATTTTTCATTGGGGTTTAATTTTTTGTTGTTTACGAGGTACATGCATGAAGAGACCCATGAATTTATGACCACCACAAAATATAAACTTTCATATGCATAACTACTTAACATTTTCTAACCTTGAAATCAAATCCCCACAAACCAATAGCTTTTCTTCAAACCTCAAATATTTGACCCCACGAAAATTTTACAGTATTCGAGATATCAGTGTTTGAGATGTTGTGGTTTTACTGTATATCTGTGTCTTACCTGGTTCAATGACAAAACCTACACCATCCCTCCACACCGCCATACTCTGGGCTTCTATAGGGATGGAGATATCTACATACCGAAGACTCTTAATGAACACTCTCTCAAACGCCACTAACTGAAGGCGAGGCATTCTCTCTTTAGTAGACAACCATTTTATGTAGACTTGAAATACCTAAAAATATAATCAAATTGATATGATCTTAATGATTTTAAAACAAACATGTAATATAACAAACTACAGTTTTTATATCTGATGCAGTCAAAATTAATCATGCGTTTACTATGATTTAGAATGTTTTATTGAAGTCGAGAGACATACATCTCATAGACATAACACATGTAATAATGAAATAAACAAACATCTTAACACGTGCAATAATGGAATAAACATACAACGTACATGTGCAAAGCATATAATGCAAAATGAAGTACGGAATATTTCACTTCATAATCAAGCACTTAAAATACAAATCATAAAATATTATACAATTATGGACTTCAGTGTAGGTCGATATGTGGTTATAAGGACTCATGGCCATTGATATTGACCAAAGACACAGAAAATGATAGCGACCTCGCAGGCTCGGTCGCTATCACTTTCTGTGTCTTCAGCCAATATCAATTGCCACGAGTCCTTAAAACCACATATCGACCTACACTGAAGTCCATAACAGTTATATTATATAATCACTCAAATTGAAATCACTGACACAGTCCTAACTGAACGGACTTGGCTGACATTATGTCACAATGGTTAAATTAACATTTCTTATATTATGACGTCATGTACTACGTAACTTTAGTGCAAACAAACAGTGTGTTGTGCGATATTATTTTCTACGGACGCGCTTTCACGTCGATATCACAAAAGGAGGAATATCACGTGACGTACTTCAGCCAATGAAAACTATGAAAATAATCTTCTTATAATACTATAATGATATTGCATGAATTGCATGATTATTTTACATATCATTAGAGCTGGGACGATGCATACATGTAAATATATAATTATTATAACAGTAACTTGATCCGAAGGGTCGTATCACATCGAATTGACAGGCGCAGATTATAAGATATTACGAGACGCGAAGTGTCGAGTTTGATCTGATGATCCGTGTCTGTCAACGAGATATGATACGGCTCTTCGGATCAAGTTACTGTTATAATGATAAATTTATTATATACCCCCACATAACTAGCAAAATATAGCAAAAGAAAACTTTAGAGATCAATTGTGTAGCGCATTATCCATAAAACAAAGCTTAATAACAAGGGACTTTATAGCACAAGAAAAATAACGTCATATTTCTGCGTACTATGTCATCAGTTTCGGAGAGTGGTGATATGGATTCAGGAAACCACAGAGTGGTGATTCAGAAAGTCGATGTCACGTGGTAACTAAGTCAACAGTAAAATTAAGTGATACACATTAGGTATATAATAAAACTTTTTCTATATTGATACGCATCACGATATTTGAGCCACGATACGATACGTATCACGATATGTTTAATTGCTTATAAAATCTTTTTTTGCATTGAAATAACCAAATTTTTCCTTTTCAAATAAGAATTATTTATTCAAAATAGTTGTTTATATGTTGTAAAACAAAGATATTTTACTCAAGTGGTGTTAGTTATTATTTATTTCATATCTATACATGTATTTATATTTAGCTTATTTATTTTATATATTAAACCTCAAATGTTAAATAAACAAAGAAAAATGGAAGTCAGATGTTTTGGGCAGTATTTCTTCATACACTGTAGTGTATGTATGGATATGCGTATCGTCCTCACAGATATCTCGATATATCGTCCCAGCTCTACGTATCATGCGATAATGTATATGCATTTTAGGAAAATTAGATCTACATGTAGATCTCTCTCTTTTTCTATCAAATATTATACCAAAACAAATGACAATCATGTACGAGTACCCGTAAGTATTAAAATTTAAAATAAGTCAACTAGAAATCCTGTAAAGCCTTACCTCATCACCATCAAATGGACCTTCGTTGAACACACGGACCTGTACAACATTGGGGTCCCCAGCTTTGACCTTGGACACATAATACAGCTTACTGTACACAAAGGTGGAGTAGGAGAGACCGTACCCAAAGGGATACAGAGGTACACCCGTAAAATAGCGGTACGTCCTCCTGGTCATAGAATAGTCAGTCATGGAGGGAATCTGAAATTTTTGTTTTTAAATGTAATGAAGAAAAACATATGGTACATATATAATAAAATAATTTTTCATATACATTTTTCTCTGTGTAGTGAAATCAAAAGATATTGAGTAAATTTAACCAACATTACAAAAAATTCAACAATTGAAACCCTACTCAGTCTGATATTAATTATACATTTTATAAGTTCAAATATGTAAATGTATTGGTAAGTCTAAGTAAAGAATGCTTTTTCTCCACAGATCCTGAAATTTCAATAATCAATAAGATGTCAATTACCTGATCAGCATATTTGTACCAGGTATAGGGCAGTCTCCCTGCCGGATTAAACCTTCCGTCTTTCATAATGAGAGCTTGTTTAACGACCTCCCCCGTGGCTTGGGCAGGATAGAAACACTGAATGATGAGCAGCACTCTCTCATTTTCCTCAGCCCAGGTGATGTTCACAGGCCCCGCCGAGAAAACCAGTAGATATACCACTTTGTCAGCTGGAGGGAAAATTATTGCAGGTTATACTAGTACATGTAGATCCGATCAAAATAACATAGTTTTTAAGTTTTCACACTATTTCTGAATTTTATTTAAAAAAAAAGATGCTTTGATTCACAAGAATTTGAGTTTGTGTAAAGTACATCTTAATTTATATTTATACAAAAGAATGAATATTTCATTAAAACATAGCTCACTCATTGCAACAACATCCTGAAGAAGTTGGAGCTGTTTCCCTGGTAGTGACATGTCTTTCCTATCAACATTCTCACTCTCTAGTCCTTTCCCTGAAATGTTAATCATCTGAAATTACTATCATGGTAACATTTTTACTGTTTTTTGTTCAGAAGTTAAGATTTTTAAAGAGAACATTATTTTTTATGGTTTTAGCCCCAGTCCTCTGACCCTAGTGGCAGGGATCATGATATTCAAAATTTTCACTCCTATTGAATGCTATACATGTATTATGCCAATATTGGTTGATATTGGTTCAGTGGTTCCAGAGAGAAGCTTAAAACAAAGGCACCTGACGTTACTTTTCTTTTAATTAAAAAAAATATATACCCTTACCTTATAATAAACCAAGGTCCACATCAGCGCCATCTTGAATTTTTCTAGGTCTGCCACATCCACTTGTATTTTCGTCTGAAACTCCGTCAAATAAATTCCCTGCAACCATATTCTTTCTGTGGCCAGTCTTTCGAGGTCTAAACTTACGGACACTGCAGCCAGAAGGGCGCATCACACTTGCAAATATTAAAAATTCCTCGTCAAACTCGATCTACTGCTTCGACAATCCGAGAAATCGCCAAAGGGGGGCCGGAAGTTTACATCAATATGCTAATGGGAATTCCGTATTTGTCAGTTTTGTGGTGGATCTTAAGCGGCGTGTTATAATTACTTTGAAATTTTAATAAATATTTCGATTATTGAAATGAAAAATAAAACACTTCTTATAAATATACCTGTAAAATATACTGTGTTAATCTATACAAATCGTTGCGTTCGAAACAATCTTGAATGAAAGAGGGGGGTGCTTGAAAAAAAATCAACAACAAATCATCTAGAGTTAATTGAATGGTTTTCAAAAAACAATAGACTGCAAACCATCCAGTTATATATATACATGTGTATATACATATATACCTGGCATATGCTTAATTGAAAAAGGGGAGGGGATACATGCACTGATAAAAGGATATGTAATGAAATCAATTAGCTTATGCAATATGTATATGTATAATCTGTCACCAAGAAAAAAAAATAACAAGAGGCCCATGGGCCTTATAGGTCACCTGAGCATTATGCAACAACTTTCCAGTGATTGCATTTGATTCATGTTTTAAGCCAGATGCTATGGCATTCACAATTTTGAAAGAGGCACCATTGATCATCATAACAATACACTTAGCAGTTGCTTAGTTTGTTTACTTAATACCCATATGCAGGGTAAGGGAACAAAAAATGCATTTCAACTAATCAGTTATATTCAGCAATAATCAGCAGTGCCCCTACCACACATGAACCCCTGACCCTTAGGCCTTGATATTTGATTAATACCAAGGAGCAGATTTCAAACCATTCATTCATTTTCAGTATATAAGTACAGTCCCCCCCCCTTCTATGGTACCCCTGACCCTGGGGCCTTGAAATTCACAATTCTGGAAGATATGGGCCCTTGTCCAGCATAACTATATAGGTAGTTCATCTGCTTAATACCCTGGAGCAGAGAAGAAAATTTTCAAAAATTTAATGTATTTTCACTATATAATCAATAGAGCCCCGCCCTAACACCAGAACCCCTGACCCTGGGGACATAAAATTCACAATTTTGGTAGAGGCACTCTTGCTCATCATAACTATGCACTTAGTTAGTTTATTTAATACCCAGGAGCAGAAAAGAAGATTTTCAAAGAATTCATGTATTTTCACTATATAATCAATAGAGCCCCGCCCTAACACCAGAACCCCTGACCCTGGGGCCATAAAATTCACAATTTTGGTAGAGGCACTCTTGCTCATCATAACTATGCACTTAGTTAGTTTATTTAATACCCAGGAGCAGAGAAGAAGATTTTCAGAGAATTCATGTATTTTCACTATATAATCTATAGAGCCCCGCCCTAACACTAGAACCCCTGACCCTGGGGCCATAAAATTCACAATTTTGGTAGAGGCACTCTTGCTCATCATAACTATGTACTTAGTTGGTTTATTTAATACCCAGGAGCAGAGAAGAAGATTTTCAAAGAATTCATGTATTTTCAGTATATAATCAATAGAGCCCCACCCTAACACCAGAACCCCTGACCCTGGGGCCATAAAATTCACAATTTTGGTAGAGGCACTCTTGCTCATCATAACTATGCACTTAGTTAGTTTATTTAATACCCAGGAGCAGAGAAGAAGATTTTCAAAGAAATAATGCATTTTCACTACCTACTTATTTAGCCCCGCCCTAGCACTAGAACCCCTGACCCAAGGGCCATGAATTTCACAATTTTGTAGAGGACTCATTGCTGATTACAATCATGCAAACAGTTTGACTGCTTGATGTCCAGGAGTAAAGAAGAAGATTTTTAAAGATTGCATTAATTTTAGTGGTTTTGGCCCCACCCCTCAGGCCCCAGGGGGGCAGGGATCATGAAATTCACAATTTTTGTTCCCCTTCACCCATAGATGCTTTAGGCCAAATTTGGTTGAAATTGGTTCAGTGGTTGCAGAGAAGAAGCTAAAAATGTTCAAATGTTAACGCACAACGCACGACGACGGACGAAAACAGATAGCAATAGGTCACCTGAGTTTACTCAGGTGACCTAAAAAATGTCGCCATGCCACTACTTTATTGCAATACATATAATTGCAGATCTCAACACTCCCCGGAATAATTTTAGTGTGGACCCCCCCCCTTCTCACACACGTGCGTACATATTTTAAATAAACAAAGTCAATCTTCTCCGTGGATAGCGCTCAATCGGGGCATCAAAAATGACAGTACATGTATTATTAATTATATTTAGTGCATGTAAGTAGGGACTTAAAACCGACTCAATATTTAGTCTCGAAAATGTTCACTGATCAGCTAGCATGATCAGGCCGATCTTCGACACATTTACAAAATATATATCGAAATTATTTTGGAGAGAAATAAAATAAATGTTCTTACATGTATATTACGTTGTATTATTGTCTGAATTATTGTTTTTGGAATAAGTACTAACTTTCGCCGGTTAAATTTAAAAATAAATTGTACAAATATATTGACCAATCAAAAAAGGGCTTTCCTTAAGAATTTCAAGTCGTATGTAAACTTCCGGCCCCCCTTTGGGGATTTCTCGGATTGTTGAAGCAGTAGATCGAGTTTGAAGAGGGATTTTTAATATTTTCAAGTGTGATGCGCCCTTCTGGCTGCAGTGTCCGTAAGTTTAGACCTCGAAAGACTGGCCACAGAAAGAATATGGTTGCAGTGAATTTATTTGACTGAGTTTCAGACGAAAACACAAGTGGATGTGGCAGACCTAGAAAATTCAAGATGGCACCGAGGTGGACCTTGATTTTTTATAAGGTAAGGGTATATCTTTTATTAAAAGAAAAATAAGTAACGTCAGGTGCCTGTGGCTTAAAATGTTCAAAAGTTAATGCTTGGATGATGCACAATGATGTAGATTAACAAATTACATATAACAATAAATCTATATATACACAAGTATGAAATTCTAGGAAGAATACAGTCTTGCAAAATTTTACAAAAATAATGTTCCACATACATGTATAAATAAAATGTGATGCAATTATCTCCCTTGAGCAACAATTAAACTGGGAGCCTCAAATGAGCTACCCATGAACAAATCGTAAGAAAGCTTTGGTATGGGTACTAAAACAAATAAATCTCGGGATAACTAACCTGTTCCCAAACACACCACTACTAGATCCGCCCCTACAAGCGCAGTCTTAACATCCTCTTGTGAGTAGTTCTGACAAGGTGTACCATCTAAACAGCCTGCTGCATAGTTCATAGAAAAGTTCAGCTCTGAGAGGCCTTTCAGGGGAGTTTTCACAAATTTGGGGTCTGTCGTAGGGGAATAGTCACCAAACATTTGGTCACTGTTGTTTGCCATTGGTCCAATAACCTGTGATGAAATATGATGTAAAATGTAATTTTGCATTGGGAAAGAAAATCTAATACTAGTATATCTGTCAATGAAAGAGATCTATAATAATGATATCATACATTAAAATATTTGACTTTTTTTTCAGTATGGCTTAAATGTCAATCAGTACATACTAATACAATACATGTATCCATAATGTTGTATCACTATGACTGGATTTCATACGAGCACTTTATAAATAATGAGGGGGGTCAAGGTTTATATCAGTAATTTCTAAACTAAACTTGTTATAATAATATACATGTAGTTTACAAAATATACCATTTATACCAATATATTTTTTCTTTTCATAGAATACTCAACTTATTATTAAAAATATTTTTCACTTTTTACATACTGCCATTCTTTCGGCAAGAAATCCACCAATCAGATGCTCCCTACCAAACTTTGATGGCCTCTTCAACAGAACCATGGACTTGGCTGCCGCTGTGAGAGACAGGTTCCTGTGTTCTTCACTCTGGATGACGGACAGATTGACAGTAGAGTAGGGGTTCATCTCAGGAGGATCAAACTCTCCCAGCCTCATTCTGGTATAAAATAAAGGCTTAACTCGGTCTCGAACTACAGACTCTTCCAACTTTCCACTCTTAACTGCATCACCTTCAAAGAAAATGTCAGAGGAAATTTAGTCCTTAATCATATATGAGAAACAATCCAGAACAGAAGATTAAGGAAGTCTCATAAATATACCCCGGTAATCATTTATGGTTTAAGTATTATACTGTGGAATAGTCTTTGTGGGGGACCACAGTTTGATTTCCTTAGCCACTCATACCAATGCATGAGTTTACATCCCCATAAATGATGTTTGACAGCAAATCAGCTTACTCGATCTTATGGTGTATATCAAAGTTACGCACAAATTACGTCCCCATAACTAGTAAAATTTGGATTGCCAACCAAAGTTGATCCCAAAAAATTAAAATGATTTCACAAACCATTATTTACCAATGCTCATAAAAACAGGGTCCTTAAGGTTTGCAGACAGTTCAAGATTACACCCCGCATTCACTGACCCAGCTGCAGCATCTAAGGAGTTATTGTAGTATTTATGGAAGGTGATCTGGTTTTCTATGGCCCCCTCGTCACTGACCACATATCCTGAAAAGTTCCACTCCCCCCTCAGTATGTCCAGCAGGAGAAGGTCATTACTGCAGGCAGGTACACCATTTATTCTGAGAATAGAGGATATGAAATAACTAACAAGATGAAATGTTCTGCATTTTAAGTTTTTTTTCTCTGGCAAGAGCTTTGACAGCAACAGTATTACAGACAGACATGAACTCAACTTTGTCCAAAAGAACAATTTAGTTAACCAGCACTATACGTCAATCGCATTGCATGACACTATCTTTCTACAAAATGAATCAATAATAGCTTTCTAAGAAAGGATAATAATACAATTAAGTTTTCATTTGCTTGAATGCAAACTTCCACACATGTACTTAAACTTATGATGCTTTCACATTTTATTTCCTCAAACATGTTTACGTACAGACCTGTTATAACTGCACATAAGGCTGTATGCTCCAGCTTCTACACATTTCTTAAATGCTGGTAGGAAGGTCAGCCTCAAATCTCGTATAGAAACCTGGGGGGAAAATCCAATTAACTTCAAGATTACATGTACACAGTGTCAGTCAAAGTAATTCAAGATAATGATATCAGATAAAATTTTATAAAGGAAAACATACTGAGCAGACAAGCAATTAGAAGGAAGCAATTAGAAGGAAATATTCCTAGTTTCATAAAACTGATATCAAAACTGTAGGTCTTTAAAAAAATCAAGGTGTAGATCTATGTGTTAGAATAGATTTATTCTAAATTCTATATGTATGACAAAAGGTGTGTAAAATTCCCAAACCTTTGCATCAAAACTCATTCTGGACACCGGGATGTCCTCTGGTCCACCATGGGCATCAAAATGTTTACAGCCCGCATTGGCCTGTATGTATCTGTCATTACTTCCCTGCAGTCCCTGAACAAAATAGTGGGCATACACCCCAGAAAGGTATGGATCCTCCCCGTATGTTTCCTGTAAACAAAATTATTGATTAAATGTATAAGAATCACTATCAAACATTGTTTGCCTTTTATATACAGTTCAGGAGAGTTACCCCAGAGCCCAGAGAAATGAATTGTGTATCTGTTGTACAACTTCAGACTCACTTACTCACCTGATTTCTGCCCCACAGCGGATGCCTCATGATGTTGACCACTGGACTGAAGCAGCTGAGTCCAGTATGATCAGTGAAAATTCCTCGCTTCACAAAATCATTGTGTTTTGCTCTCACTTCAGTGGCTGCTGCTTTTGATATATTATAGATGAGATCCTTACTATAAAATACACATTTTTTACCATATTGCAGAATAACAAATTACTACATGCATCATTCATTGAAAAATTATGTATAATTGCAATACTTTTATTTTCACTATAACATTAAATGATTGAATCATGCATAATGAATAGAGGAAAAGGTTATTTTTAATCTTGATTTGCAATTTAAAATCAGAGATCATGGTGATATTTCAGGTAGTCGTGGTTATGTATCTTACCTAAAAGCAGCAGCAAGCCCAATAGCCTGAGGGAAAGAGGTGGCATTCCCTGCCTCCACATCACCTCTCAGACACTCGGTATTCCATTGATAGGGTCCGATACCTAAACTCTCGATGGCGGGGGCGGGTCCCCCATATTCTCCTGCACCTCCTCGCGCAAGCTGTTGAACAATCTGATCTAAAGTCAACCTCCCAACCAAATCATCAACCCTCTCAGACCAAGGTAGTGAAACATTTCTAAATGGATAATCACCCAATGTCAGCGATATCTGCACAAATAAACTGATGCAGTGGATGACTTTTCTTAACATTGTCCCTGCTTTCACAATGTTTCTTCTTTCTTTTTGAATTGTTTTTAAATTGGATTTTCACTGTAAAATCATAAATATGTTCACGTGACAAAACCCGACCCAAAAACAAACAACCGGATATATTCATTGAAATCGATTTTATTATTATAGAAAATGGAATGCAAAAATCCGGATTAATTTAACAAAATTGTAATTTTGAAAATAATCTTTTTAAAATTATTTTCATTCGTTTCTCTCTAGATTGATCCTAATAGGCTTTCGTACTACTTTAGCACTATTCAGAAAAGAAATCTTATTTTTCTAAACTTGCAATTGCTATGAAAGATTCACAGTACAAGCATATGTGCTTGAGGTAGGAACCCCCTTCCTTCAAGGACCCATGGGCCTTTAGTCGTGACTTTTTACTCAAAAATTATTTTTCAATAATGGGGGGGGGGGGTCCTGTCCTCAAGCACCTGTGAATACAAGAAGCTGTCATGCAGTGCAAAGTATAATAAAAATAGACGATGCAGATCGAGTGTCATGTGTGCGTTTTACAGGGACTTAAGGTCAAGATCTAGTAAATGGAAGGTGCCTACAGATTTTTCAAATTTAAGAAATTAATTCCTTTAATGATACTTTATAACATTAGCTTGGTCAAAATAGGTGTTTCGGGGCATAATTTGTAGAAAAACAAAATGAAAAACCATATTTCAAACTGTCATTTTTCAATGAAAAATTAAGAAAACCAGTATTGAAAATGGGAGTTTTTTCCATATAAGACAAAGAAAATGTATCCAGATTGCCTACAGTTTTTCAGGAAATGGTTACATGTATTTGCATGTTCTTAGTCTCTACTTTAAAATGATGTTAAATTCAAGATAGGTATCGGGATTACTTTTCATGTGATTTCAAATTGAATTCCACATGAAAATACTTTATTTTCTACACAATTCTTTTAGAGATGTAATATAAAGTACGGGAAAAAGAAACTCGAAAGTGATTATGACGTCATAATGGATTTAGCACTGAAAAGTTATTCTAAAGCCATCCAACTGTACATATCAGCTACTAGTATATATAATTGAAATTCGGAAATATTTTTTGAACCCATATTTCCATGGCCATAATCTGGCCATAGTATAATAATAACACATTGTATCAGGCCAAAATTGTTGGAGGAGTAGCATGCATGTTTTGAAAGTATTTCACAGAAAGTTCTTTTTTTAGTAACCATCGGACACGCCTTTCATTTGAACTCAAAAAACATTAATACACAGAACTGATTATTCACATGTATCTATCGTAGTCTACTTGTGTTCCAAGTTACATGTATGTTGAAATCAGACTTTTGTTAACACTTAGCTAGGGGACGACCATTGATTCTGAGGGGGGGGGGGGAGGGGGTAGCAGATTTTTGAAATAAATAATCTGTCCCTGAAAATGTTGAAAATAAATAATCTGTCCTGGACTGCAAAGAAAATAAATAATCTGACCTTGACTGGTGAAATTCAAATATTGTGAAAAATACCCTTGTGCACATAACACAATGGCGATTGCATCAATCCGATTGGCAATGTTTTAATATAAGTGTGAGAAAAAAAGAAAATGCATATATATGACCACTACACAAGGAAGGGGAAAATCACAGACAAAGCAGTATTAAGCATCATTGATAAGACAATATACTTGCGGTGCAGACTTGATAATAGTAGTCAATTAATTTATCTAAAGGACAATGTGCACTCAGTAGGTGTGGTGAATCACTTTAAATACAAGCCAATTCTTATGCACCGCAAAAGATAAATTTTCTTTTGTCAAAGAATTACACTTAGCGGTGGCGGATTTAAGGGTAGCGCCCCCCCCCCCCTAAAATTGTCAAAGTTAGCGTAAATTATAGTCTAGATTAAAATGTAGAAATGTCTACTCGGACGTATTCATTTCTATACCCTACGAAATGTCTGGAATCAAGGAGCTTCCGGGGGTCTCGCCCCCTGCGTCCCCACCAGGGCTTCGCCCTGGACCTACTTTATGTGCCCCACTTAATTTCCTGTATCTCCCCTGCTTAGTGATTGATATTCCCCGATTTATTAATACAAAGTATATAAATTATTAGTCTTTTTAGTAATAATATCTTATTTATGAATAT